TCTTTTATATTACTACATTTCTTGTTCTTTTTCTTAAGCTTAATTATTAAAAAATTTTATCGTTCACGGGAAATCTGCTTTCAAAATTTTAATTATTCCTAAGGAATCCGAATGCGAGTTGTGTTATTCTTCGACATTAAGTTTTTAATGAATTTATAACTAAATCCGAAATCATGAACTTCAGAAACCGATTGGAAAAAGAACAGGAGCGACGGCGAGAAGACGAAGAACGGGCGAAGCTTGACCTGTACCGTAGGAAGCAACTTGATCTACAGATGCTGTTAACAACCAAGGATAACAGGATTGGCTCCAGAGAGCTGTACATACCTTATCCCTGTACATACTTTTTCAATTTACAAATTTCTGTTTTTCCAAATTCCTATTTGTGTATGCTCCAAAACAATACAACTCAGCAGACGTTTTTGAAGCGATCTATTTGCTAATTTTGTGTTGTGTTATTAGCGGATTCTCGAATGCAGTACGCGCCGCAGCCGCTACTCACACCATATCCAGGGATTCATGGCGCCGGTGAATTCGACCGCTCCAAACACCGAGCTGGTTCTAAGCATTCCCGTCATAAACGATTATCGGCAAGACTAAAAGAACTCGAAGTGAGTGATTTCTTTCTTTTCCTAATTTTGATCTTTATATTTTTGACTCTGCAAGATACTGAAGACAAAATTTGTCCTCTTAAAACTTCTGGATTTCTGGACAACTTTTAGCTTTTGCCCGCATCGACCGCACGATCGCCGACAGAAAAACGGAAGGTTGCAAAAAAACGAGAGGAAGACATTGTTTCACCGGAGCGAGATCACAAAGAAGTGAGTGTTGAACTGTGCATTTCACATGGTTTTCGTTTGAATTCTTCGCAAACCTCAGATTTATGGAAAATGCAGCGGACTTTCTCCCCGATCTGGAAAAATCTGCTTGGATGAGCAAGCTGCTTGTTTATTACTGGTAATAAGAAGTGCGCTTCATCTTGTAAGAAACTTGTCTCAGAGACGGAAAAGAAAACCTAAAAAAGCCGTACCAGTTGCCCAGTGGTCAGTAAAATACCGCAAGTCCAACCCGAGGTAAGCCGCAAAAACAGTATACCTAGTGCTCAAATTTAGAACTCTAATTCGTTTCTCACTTGCTAGCAGCATTTTTCCTCGCTTGGGTGGCAATGCTTTTATCAGAGGTAACAGGCAAATCATTTGTAAGCAGTTTAAAACCGCTAGAATGACCTTTTCTGGTTATTA